AGTGTGCTTCCTGACTGCACAGATGGAGAAGACAGGCAAGGAGTAAGTGGCAGAGCCTCTGTGCTTCCCGGATGTGGATGCGATGTGACCAGCTGTTCAAGCTCCAGCTGCCCTGGCCTCCTCATCATGATGGACTGTGGACTATTCCTTGAACTGTGATTATAAACTCTCTCTGCCTTAAGTTTGTTTTTGTCAGTGCAGTCTATCACAGCAATAGGAAACAAATGAACACAGTAACCTGGAGCTATAAAAATATATATATAACTTGAATTAATGTTCTTTTTATTTTAAAAGACTTATTTATTTTATGTATAGGAGTACACTGTAGCTGTTTTCAGACACACCAGAAGAGGGCATCGGATCCCATTACAGATGGTTGTGAGCCACCATGTGGTTGCTGGGATTTGAACTCAGGACCTCTGGAAGAGCAGTCAGCGCTCTTAACCTCTGAGCCATCTCTCCAGCCCTTGAATTAATGTTCTAATAGTTTAGAAATAGCATGGAAGCTCCATCCCGAGGTCCTCAGTTCTTCATCCTTCCTCATGAGTGCCCAAGCTTTCTTCATAACACAGATTAAATGTTGGGCATGTGTACATTCTTACAAGCATGTGGAGTTACAATCCAAACTGCAATCCTTTTGTACTCACTCACATATTCCTATCGAAGACAAACATTTGCTCACCCACATTCAAGCTATTTTCTAGTACCTTTTATTTCACCCTGTACGTCTCCTGTGAGCATTCTCCAAAGGCCATGTCTAGTGATAATAAACTCCTTAACATAGATTAACAATCTTAAATTTTAAAACGTATATGGAGTAATGGCTCAGCATTAACGAAGCACTGCCTACTCTTCCAGACACCTGGGTTCATATCTCAGCACCCACATGGCAGCTCATAATTGTTTGTACCTCAAGTCCCAGGGGCTCTCATGCTCTCTCTAGCCTCCTTAGAAACTGTATGGATGTAGTACACAGACACACATGCAGGCAAAACAGCCATATAAAATAATGATGATAATAATAATAGCAATAACAATAGCAATAACAATAGGAATACAGCAATTTCAACTGAAACAGAACCAAAAGCCCTCACAAATTTTTCAGAGATGGTAAAATCAGATTCCATACAGCAACATTTGAATCCATTCTAGTTTTATTACTACTATCAAGAAATTTAACACCAGCATCTACATAACAGTCCTCTGAGGCAGAGGGAGAACATGACACAAAAATACTATGCAGCAAACAGTACCACACTCAAGAGGCTGTTTCTCAATGTCATATACCAAGTGACAAATCAAATCAGGGGGACTGGCTCCAGTTACATGACATAAATCAACTCATTACTAACTGAACACTACAGGTAGAAATGTTACTACAGGTAAAATGTTGTGCAGACTTTCAAACACTTAGAAGTTTCCCTAAGAGTTTATGTGTGCATACAAACGTGCAAAGAGAGACATACAATATAAAAACTGTTCTGTACAGCATTCTCAAGCTTCAGCAAAGCATACATTTCATGCACGTTTTGCCACACAGTGCAACTTTATTGTTTAAGACACGAATGATAGTGCACTTCCATCCAAAGAGCCACATTCAAATATGGGATGCAATCCTTATGCTCAGCTATTGAAGAAATACACATTCTTTCTCTAAATTAAGTTGTGCAAGTACAATTATTTTTAATGTAACTCTAGTAAATCTCTAAGGACTAAGCAACAGGTTTTAGGTACGCTTGTGGGAATACCCCACCTTCCCCGAGTCTTGCAGTTTAAAGTGGAGCCAATGTCTCAACACAACAGCGGCGGGCAGTGCTGCACAATGCCACCTTATCACAAGTCACAGTCAACCCTTGACTTGCAGGAGGCTAAAGAGAAAGGCTCTCACAGCTGGCTCCCTCCATGAGGACAATTCAGTACCTACAGGGAGCTCCGCCTGCTCACTACATGCAAACTTTGCACTTCTGCAAGGCTGTTCATCTTAAGAGAATTGTTCAGAAGTTTACAACCTAGTCCTACAATCTTGAGTTTCCTCTGGGATGGCTGAGCAAAGGAAACAGCTGCTGTGGACAGTGGATTATGAGACAGAGTGAAAGCAGAACCAAATTTATTAGAATAAAAATTTGGAAACTTATAGTAGAAAGGACATTTTGCACACTGTACCATCTGCCAATAAATACAAATGGAGAAACCAGTCTCTTCAGATTCTCTGTTGAGATGATGGATGCCACAGCTCTGGATCGAGCGCTGTCTTTGGGCCAACTTTGCAAGGAAGCCATCTTGAAATACAATGAGAATCTCTTCTATAATCTGTACCAGATGTGCCCAAAGACATCATCTGTTGGTGAAGGTCAAAGCTTCCAGAATCAGGTAGGGGCTGGGACTAGAGTGTTCACTGCCCTCATGCAGCTGTCACTAGCATCTGTGTGGACAAGCCTCAAGGCCTCAGCTTCATATGAAATCCCATAAGCAAGCCTAACCGTGACAATGACTCCACCCCAAACCAGACCCTTCCCAGTGGTCACTCTAAGAATTGAGATGTGGATAAACACTCTGCCCCAGTTTTCACACTGGGAGATTAAATTCTGGTCAAATCTTTTATGTGATTCTGATTTCATTAACATACACCAAATCCTGCTCAAATTAAAGGATAAAATTCCACTAAACCTCATTTCTCAAAAATGAAATGCAGCAGTAAGACCCAACTGTGTCAGACTTCAAATTCAAAGAGTTTCAGACCCTGCATATAGAATTTTCAGGTGACTATCTGCTACCATCTTCCATATCTGGTGAAAAGATTACACTAAATTTTTGTCTTTTGACATTATAATTTTTCCTTAAAATAAATGTGTGTTAAGACCATTTGAATTTTATTATTCACTGTAAAGTCTTACCAACAAAGAATTTTCAGGTTTCTTAGATGATCAAGTAACTCTGGTTTTCTGATTTTCAAAAAGTTATGGACTTAAGCCCAATCATCCTTGCACTGCTGATAAAGGAGGGCCATGGCCTCTGAGACTTTCCCACAGAGTCTGTGGCCTACACTGTGATATCCCCCTCAGATGTAAGCAGAGGCTGTGGGTGAGAGGGGACCTGTGGGACCACGTAATCACTGGGTCTTACACAGCCTCACTTGCTCATGAATTGTCCCTCCGTCTTCACCAGAGGTTTCAGAGCCATGGTCATTCAGGCAACTCAGCATCACACTGACCCGGTTTCCTGAGTGAAACTGCTGTATTTATTCATTGCATCTAAAGGAAGGATACAGACAGTGTCACGCCATAAAACTCCAACTCAGTGATAACACCTGTGTTTAATCGAGTTCTTGAATTTAGGAAACTGTAGTGTTTGTTATATTAAATGACCCTTGAAAAATGGAATGATACCAAGGTTTGCTTTTAAAGCTGATATTTAGATAATCTCTATAAATCAATACTAAATGCAAGCTTGTCAAAAACAGTGATGACTGTTTTCATGGGAAACAGAAAATGGCAAAGGTACTGGAATACAGGAGTCATGACTCAGGAATGCACAGGGAAGGTTCATAAAGAAAACAGGCACAATGGGGGTGCAGCAAAGCTCTCCCTGACCAAACATAATACATTCCCCACATCTCTGTGCACAGAAGCCTTAAGGCTGGTCCACAACAGTGGGAATCACTTTTTAAAAATTACAAAGGAAAAAAAAATCTCTAGATGGTTTTTCTTATAGATCAGCTGAGAAGTTGAGGACTCTTTACACATGGCTGAGACAAAAAAAAAAAAAAAAAAAAAAAAAGGAGAAAACCTGTAGGGCAATGACAGTGACAGGGCTAGTGACTGAGCAGCCCCAAGAAAGCCAGGCAATTTCTTCTTCAAAATTCACAAAAACAGGCCTTCAGAAAGACAGCCTTGTGTGTGTTCCACTCCTCAATAAGCCAAAGAGTAGGTCAAGAGTAGAGCCGAGCTTAGAGGTGGCAGTGGGCAAACCCACGAGCGGAATCGGGACTGCTGATTGATGCCTGACCTCTGCCAAGGTGGAAGGAAGGAGGAAGGAAGAGGAGGCAGGGTGACTGGTGATGGGAAGCAGTGCTTCAGCAGTGCTTGGGCCCACACACCCTGCTGGAGTCTTAGCCTCACTCTGTAGGTAGGCTAGCCAGGAACCCACTATATATCATAGCTCAGGATGGCCTCAAACTTAAATCCTCCTGCCTCAGCCTTCCAAGTGCTGGGGTTAGAGAGGTGACACCTGCAGTGGTTCTATATTCACCTTGATATACAACTCAAAGAGAGGTCAGGGAAATGATTACATAGAGATGGAGTTGACATGGCTTTAAAACTTACTCTGCAAGTGTTCTCTTCTAGAAATGACAGCATTTGCAATAGCAAGCAGTTGTCAACTGCCATGAGACAGGCAGCTGGAAAGTAGCAAGCCACAGGCATGCAAGGGTGCAGCACTCAGAGCTGTCTGCACCACTGCACCCCTGCTTCTGACACAGCAAGGTCTCAAGCAGCTGTGTCACTGTCCTAGCTTCCAACTCCAGTGCAATCCTGTCTGCCTAATACAGGATGGGTTTACAAATGCCCGCACTGCATCAAAGTCTAGTTGTGGCACAAGCCAACTCTTAAAACATTTAAAAGTACAATACGTCATATGGAGGTAAATACCAACCAGTGCAGTAAGAACTCCGACATAAGAAGCTCACAGATGCTGCCTGTGCTGTATAGTTCTAAAAAGTGAATTCTATTCAAGTTATGGCTTCACTCACACTCATCGCTCAGAGTACATTCTGTATGTATGATCAGAAACCCAAAAAGCCTATGCAATGGTAGCACATGGCTACCAGTAAGGAACTCCTACTTCAGTTCCCTAGGGCACACACTTTTAGTGTCTATTTGCAAATTGATCTTTTCTTAATGAAGTTATCAGAGGACCACACCTGTTGCCCTTGTACTAAGATTTATCACAAATAACTATTCTGATTTTCCTCCTTGACAAAACAGGCTTTTTTAGTCCAAAACTGTTTTTGAAAAAAAATGATCATTTTATAGCTGGGAGTGGAGGATAGGGGTAAGATGACATGTTAAACATACAATTCTGGCTTCTCAACCATTTCCACCTCTATACTTGAATGCAAGCCTGGCCCATATTGTAGATGATTCTTAACTAGTCTGGACCACTGTTCAGAAACTGGTGATGGAGAGCAGCATAGGACATAGGTGTCATACATTTAGTGAGGTGACAGCACCTCCTGCTCCTAAAGTGAAGGGCCTAACAGGCCATATTTGTGTGTTAGTGACTTCTACCTCGAAGTGCTTAGAAGGCCATACCAATACAGGGATCCCACACCTACAGCCAAGTTCAAGGCTACTGTGTACATGAACTGAAGGGCAAACAGAGGGAGAGACGGACTCAGGCCTAGACAGTTCTCAGGACAGGTAGGAGATCTTTCAAGGACTCTCTGGTAGCCCATCCTCTGTTTCCAATTCAGCCAACTGCCTTCTCAGGACATTGACCTTGGCTTGTAACTCCTTGTTATATTCAATGATGTTAACCATCTCCTCATATGCTTCATCCAGGTACTTAGAAGATCTGCTCCAGCGTAGGAAGATTCCTGAAGAATCCGGGAATGAAAACAGGAGTAGGATGTTCAGGTAAGTACTGTGTCCCTGGTAACCCCACACACTACTGTACAGTTTCCCACAACTCATGTATTTGTTTAGATTTTTGTTTTGCAGCACTAGAGACTGAACCCAGGACCTTACACATGACAGACAAATGCTCTACTATGGAATGATGACCCTTCCTGATTTTGAGAAACAGGTCTCACTAAATGGGCCACGCTAGCCTGAAACTTGTGATCCTCTTGTCTAAGCCTCGAAGCAGCTAGGATTCCAGGCATGCACCACCACACCTGGCTCATCCTGTGCTTCATGATTCTCTACACAGATTCTTCAGTTACTGAAAGAATCCACACAGTAGCAAAGAACTGCAGTTGTCATAGAGATAGGTGTTTACAGGTTACAACTGGAAACACTGCTTTTATATGCTCATGAAAATAAGCTGGTAACTTACAGTGCCACGAAGTCTTCACCTTCATAACCTAAGTCACCCATTTTAAAACTGCAGACTTCTACTTGTCTGTGAGATTGCCTGCATGAGTGAAACCATTCTCACTGGGATAGTGATGGTGGTGGTGGCATCAGAGGCACAGGCTGTTACTCACACCTCACCATGCGTAACTCACATCACTCTACACCATTAGTCATCGTCCAGCTCCACAGGTAACTGCTCCTCTCCTCAGACAACAGCCACTGGCTCACTGTGGACTGAAGGGTACTTGTCATCTCAGATAACTGGTTCCAGAATCACTCCTGGGTATCACATTCTTAGATGCTGAATCTTTTACATCAAATGACAGGGTGTTTGCTTCTAACCTATGCACACAAGCATCTCAGGATGTCTGTCCTACTCAGTGTGGACACTGTAAACACTCATGGTTCTGTGCTGCTTAGAGAATGTTAATGAGACACAGAACAAACTTTTTGAAATTTCCAATCCATGACTGGTTCTGTCTGTGCATGTGAACTTCACAGACATGAAGGCCAAATGCTTAGAGAAATCTGGCTCATGTTGTTTCTATTCCACAACTACACTGTCAACTATTCTTCAATTAGAAGTCACTGTGAGTGCCTCCTAGGATGTAAGCACACAACAGTTGTGTTTCCTCCACCACTTCATCTCTAGAGCCCCACTCTGGATTGGGCATTTGTCTCCAACAGCTGGCCTCTCATTTCAGTGATTCAGTATGACAGTGGCTTTTAAGTAAACTACCTCAGAAACTGAAAATTTTTATTACATTTTATTCAGATGATGTGTGCGTGTGTTCATGTGTACATATACATGTGTGTATAAGTCAGAGAACAAGCTGCCAGACCTAGTAGGGTCTCTACTTCCACCAAATGAGTCCTGGGGACAGAACTCAAATTGTCACTGAGCTACTTCACCAGCCCCAAGATCTTTACAAAGGAAGCAAAGTGGCAATCTCTCATTTAGGAAATTACTTATTCTGTGACCTGTGGCCTTCTACAACAATCCAAAGAGTAAGCAGAGAGGTTCTGCCTCATCACAGATTTAAACCACAGGCGCCTGCTCAGGGAACCTAGATACTGATAAAAGGATTTAGTTTCCCTGTACTCTAAGGAGGGAGGCACCTAGAGGGGGATGCCAAAAGGAACAAGAGGCAGTCCAGACAGAAACAGCACCACATGATGGGGAAATCACTTTCTATACACGAGCTACCCCAAGAGCACCACACATGAGAAGCTGCCGATAGACATTCACACTAATCTAGGAGAACTTCCCAAACAACAGCCTTTCTACATCTACGGTGCTTAGTGCAAACATGCATGAAGTCACACTCACTGGCTTCAAAGTGATGACAAAATTGAATGGAACATCTACTGTGTCAGTGGAATAAACACCTAATATACTTTATGTGACATCTGGTCTTTCTAAAAAAATCCAAAAAACAAAAAACCAAACTTTGCTATTTAAGGAGATTAGCTTCATGTGAAAAATTACACATGTAAGAACTTGTTTCAGAACACACTTAGAAGTGCATTATGAATGCTACTCCACATGAACAGTGGTACCTGCAGCAGCCACTGGTGTTTTGTGCTGACTTACAGATCCTACTGGAATGACTATGTGATACCATTTAACACTCATTTAACTGAAATGATGCTTAAGAAATGAAACAGAAGAACTTAGAATTTGTTCATGTCCCAGCTATCTACCACTCCTGTCAAAGAATCCCTGTTAATTAGGGCATGTTAGTCAGCTGTCATGCCCACACTGAGAAAACAGTAACACCCAAACACAGGTCTGTGGGTCACCAGCTGGCCATCTTCAAATACCAACTACTGTGGCACGTGACCCCAGGCCAGCTCAGGGCACAGCTTGGAGTATGTAAATCTCTGCACACAGTGGGGGAGTTACCTTCCCACAGCTGGAGACTCTGTGGAGCTACAGAAGGCCAGATGACCAGGTTGTTGGCTTCAAAGAGCGGATTGGTGAATTTACTCAGCTCATTGGGTCGATTGACCCATGACCACAAAGACATTGTTTTCTGCTGTAGCTTCAACTTACACCTGCTCAAAAAGAAAATCACCATTAGAGTCATTAATGACCAACAACCACCCTTAAGTGGTCATCCTAACAGGTTTTATACTACTCCCCATGTGACATAAAATAAGACTCTTAGTAGAAAAACAAAATGCTTTAGGATGAAAATATCTGTCAGAAGCAACTGCTGTGAAGCTCCTAAACCTTCTGTAAGTGACTGTGGCTAGGCTGAACTGTCACTCAGGGAATGGGGACAGTTTAATGTCACTCAGGACCCAGGGACAATTCCCAGGTAAACCAGAAGCCAGAAGACCTGTACTGAGGTTATATTTGTAACGATTCATTCCCCAAGTCTTACTTTTGAGTGTCCACCCGTTATCACATGGATGCAGTTGTCCTCAGAGGGCACTGTGAGCTACCCAGTGAGTACTAGCAACACAGCGTGGGTCCTCCATGTGAGCTGTATGAGCTCTTCACTGCTGAGCCTCCTCCAGCCCCCAGGCCACAATTCTGATGGCTTAGCAGTTTTTCACTAGACAGTCACTTAATTTCTCTGCATCTTATTCACCTAAACTACAGAAGAGGAAGGAGGGTATGCCTGGCTATATCATAACTTGTCTCCCAAATATATGAAACTATGATCATACATCAAGACACTAACAGGAAACTGGCTAACCTGCTTCAAGCTTTTAAACAGTGCGTCAACTAATTTGAATCCAGCAGCAGAAAGCCTGGGGCTCCCTCTCCCCGAGCACATGCTTGGCTCATAAGGTGTCTGTACCTTGTGTGATTTAATTTGTATTTAACTGGAGATTCCTCTTCCTCCTCCTTCTTCTTTAAAGATTTATTTATTCTACAAATCAGTACATTGTAGCTGTCTTCAGACACACCAGAAGAGGGCATCAGATCCTATTACAGATGGTTGTGAGCCACCATGTGGGTGCTGGGAATTGAACTCAGGACTTTGGAAGAACAGCCAATGCTCTTAACTGCTGAGCCATCTCTCCAGCCCAGATTCTACCTTCTCAGAAACGGCATTCACACACACCCAAATCCCAATGTCTTTTAGGAAGTGACCTGGTGTGAGCTCACTCACCTTTCACTTTCATTGTTGCCCAGGAATGTTCCGAACTGTGAGGCATAAGCATGCTCAAAGAGCATGATGAGAAAATGCTCATTAAACTCAAAGGAGCAAGGGAACTGCCGGAGGATCTGCCACACACAGTCCAGGAAGAGAAGAAACACGGGGGCCTCCCACTTCTGCTTGCTGCTGCAGTAGGCTGACTGTGCGCAGCGCTGCTGGAACGGGTGACCAGCCTAGTGGAAAACAGAAATGACCACGTTATGGTACACCCAAGAACAGCAGTTCACACAACCACAGGGCAATTGTATTTACTGGAATACCATAAAGCCAACGAATGTAGTTCCTGCTTGGATGAGTTTTGGGGTTAAAAATGACTAACTTCTGCAACTAAAAAAAAATGATAATTTCTAAACCCTTGGCAAAGCTGTGTAGTGAGGGGATGAACGAGGGGACTGAAAATGTCCTTCAGACATCAAATGCAAGGTAAAGCTTAAGTAATGACGGATTTATAAAATTCTCAGACTTGATTTCAGCTACTCCCAAGGTGTGTCTGCTAACAGTCATTATATAGCATTACACTAACATCACAGGGCAATGGTGTGTCCTAGGGAGAAAGAAAAGAACAGGATAAGAGTCTGTAGTGACAATGACAGGACATGAAGGAAATGAATCAACTTCATGTGTGAATGGAGGCTTTGTTCTCAAATACATCATGAAAGTGATGACCTTTGGATCTTAAAGGAAGTGTAGGCTGGAGCAGGACAGACAAGAGGCAGACTGTGTGGAAGTCCAGTCTCGTGATCACAGTCCCACCCTCCCTCCTGCTTGGTTATCTGTATCAAGATTCAGCTCATGGAAAACCTTCTATGTTTAACAGTCTTTCTGTTTCCCACACTGGTAACAAACACAAGTTGAAGATCCCTTGTCTGACTGGGACCAGAAGTACTCTGGCTCCAGCGTTTTTCATAGTCTGAAAAGTGTGTGTGCAACATGAGATATTTTGGGGATGGAACCTGAGCCTATCAGTACACGCCTTATCCACACAGCCCGAGGGTGGTTCTGTGCAGTCTCCTTCCACACCTGCGTTCCCACTGCAGTAAGCACAGGCCGTCAGGAGCAAGCATTTTGGAGCACTGGGGATTTTCCCATTAGGGACGCTCAACCTGCACAAGTGTGGGCCATATAAACAGAGAGGTGCTGGGACAGGACTGCCGCTCTGTGGTGGAGCATCTGCTTACGTGTACGCAGGCCCAGTTCAACAGATAACATAGGAGACTGAGAGACTGGAAGCTAATGGTAAGTCTAAATTCTTATTTAGGTGAAGGTAGATTATCTGACTCTCAGAAAATTAAACATACAACTTAAAAATTTTAAGTAACCAAAATTTCATGCGTAATGTTAGAACTATAACTGAGAGTTCGATCCCAGTGACTGGCAGTCCCTTCCATTCCAGCAGCGTTCTCACCTGCAGCCACTCTCTCTCTATCAGGGCCTCAAAGCCTCGGATGGTCCTGCTTCTCGGTTCCAGGATGATCTGGGCCAGAGAAGTCACCTGCAGTGTGGAGTCAGTCCCTTCTGTCCCATGAATCAACACTGAGGCACCTTCCCTGAGAGGAAAACCCAGAGCACTGATGAGCAACTCCTTAAAGAGCATTTCCACAGTAGAGTGTGCTTCAGTCTGAGCTGCGCCGTCAGTAGGATACGGAGTCTAAATGAGACACTGGGCAGAGGAGACTTCCCTTGGGGAAAACATGAGACTATAGTGAATCTCAAACTTCATATAGCAAGAATCCTTTTGTGCCAACAAATCTCACAGCACTCTCCAACTGACCTTCTAAGCCTTTACAAAACCACAGACAGTCCCTGTCACAGCAGGTACTTGCCTTTACCGCCTTAGTGGTTGAGCAAACTCTGTTCCCACCAAACTTATAGCCACACTTTAAAATTATTCTTCCAACATTGAACTCAGCCTCTCCCCGATCAGCCTTCACCAACTGTAATGGAACCAAGAATCAAGTTCTAAACAACACTCTGATACAAACAAGTGGGAAAAGTGTCATCTCTAAAGCCTGATGCTAACACCACTGCCCATGAATCACCAGGTGCTTGGGACCCCAGGATCCTAAAGAGACCACACCCTGCCTTCTTCCAGCCTTTGTATTGAAACCACAGTGAAGACATTTTTGGAAAAAGGACATTTCATATTTAAGATCTACTAAACTATTTTCTACTTAGGATCTACTAAACTATTTTCCCGTGTACATGCATATCATAGAGTAATAATGAAAGACAATTTCCTATTTTCACTTTTACTGTAAACATTAAGTTTTATGCCATGCTTAGCACTGCTATAGTAATGGATATATAATGTTTCATTAAGCAACTAAATTATAATTTACTTAGTCCTATACATTTTATGATACTATGGTTGATGTACTTGTCTGTGGGATTATATTAGAGCTCTTAATATGCAAATAACAGACTCCACCAATGGTAGGCTATGGTGGTTTGAAGAGGAATGGCCCCCATAGACTTATGTATTTGAATGCTTGGTCATAGGTAATGGCACTATTAGAAGGTGTGGCCTTGTTGGAGTAGCTGTGTCTTTGTTGGAGAAAGTACGTCACTCGGAGAGGGCTTTGAAGTCTAAGAAGCTCAAGTCTGGACAGTGTGTCTCAGTCTCCCCCTTGCTGCCTGTGGATCTAGGTGTAGAAGTCTCAGCTCCTTCGCCTGCACCATGTCTGCCTGCATGCTGTCATGCTCCCTGAATGATGATAATGCACCAAACCTGTGAACTGTATGTAAGCCAGTCCCAATTAAATGTGTCCTTTATAAGAGCTGCAGTGGTCATGGTGTCTCTTCACAGCAATGGAACACTAAGACATAGGTTAGATAACCTCACTGTTAGAATAAAATCTAGTAATTATGCTACAGAGTTTGAACAGATACTTTGTGCCTTTCATACATATTGAATATATATCTCTTAACTATGTGTGCTGTTTATTCTGAACTTAAGGTTGATTTCTACATTTTGAGCAATTAGTTATAAAGCCAATTTCTAATGGAGGTCTAAATCCCAATATATCTGAAAAGGGTCCCCTTGGAGAGTTGAAGGCAGTCAGCCACTCCTGGGCTTCTCCTCCCCTCACTGTGCTGTTAGTACTTCTGGAAAGGCAGCCATGGAGGTGAGGCCAGGCTGGAGACATGGCTGAGCAGCTAGTGTTTACCTGGCTCACAGAATGCCCTGGGTTCTATCCTCAAAACAGTACGGTGGTGTACTCCGACAGTCCCAAAGTGGAAGCAAAGGTGATCAGAAATTTAAGGTCATCCTGAGCTATAAAGCAAGTTCTAGGCTAGGCTGGGATACATAAGACACTCTGGGGAAAGCCTCTCTACTCATAAGGAGTAATTTGGTAGACTTTGGCTACATGAGAAAAAAATGTCCATGTCAGCAGTGTGTCCTTCTGAGCTGATGGCTTCTTGGCCCATTTAACTGGCTAACTCCCAATCTACCCCCAAACAAACAGCAGTAGCTGTGTTCTCCATCCCCTCTTTACTAACTTTTATCATAAGATCTTAAGCAACCCACTCCAGTTTCTCCCAAGCCTTGAAAAAAACGAAGAATGTATTTCTTTAATTTGGAAGCAACAAACAAGTTACCATTTCAAAGAGCCTTATACAACTTATACCTACCTATGGCTTCAGTGGGAATCCCCTTCTTTAAAAAGCTCTATGCTTCTGCAACAATTTATACATCCTCCTGCCTCTGCTCGTTTTTCTGCCTTGAATCTGCCTTGGGAGCCTTTAACGGAGTGAATTCCGAGATCACTTGGCAAACTGCACAACCACCATCAAAATTTCCCAGCTGAGACGGGAGTAACTACCCAGACCAAGTGCTTTAGAAGAATAAATCCAGCATAGGAGAGAGAACAGCAACACCATGTGACAGTATTATCCACTGAGACTGTGAAGAAAACTTCCTTTCATTCTTTCTTATGGTAAATTCATAATTTAAGGATTGCACACAAAAAGTAGACCTGTGGTACTTAAAAAAAGTGTCATCAGAGGCATCTACATGGACATTAATCACATTCACTTAACAGACATGGTCTAGTTAAGATCAGACCCACACATCATCACCAGTAACTGTAAGCAGACCCCACCATGTGGTATCTGATAAAGTTATCTGGATGCTGACGAGTGAGAACAGACCTGAATGCGCTCTATGCACACGTCTGGATAGGAATGATGTCTGGTTATCACTGAGTCCCAACCAGGGAGGTCAAGCACATGCTACCTGTCAATGCACTGGGCCGCCAGGCAGGCAGTGGTCAGAATCTCCTTGATGTGTGTCAGCCAGTTGGAGGCCTCCAACTTGCCCAGCCATCGGTCCATGTTGTGGGTTTGTTCATTACATGCTTCCACGAGTTTGATTAGGCTCTCCTGAAGAACATGGTATCTTTTAAAACAAGAAAGAAAGTTACAGAAAGAAAGACAAATAAAACAGAATGATAAAGGAAACAAACCCAAATCCATCTCCGGTGCATTCAGTGGCAAAGCAATTCAGAACACTTATACTGCTATGCAGCAAACTGAAGACTGAGGATTGAAAGTGACTTTTAGCACTACTGCAAAGATGCTTCAGTGTCTCATGGCAAACTGTTCCTGATGACTGAACAGAGAGGGCCCAGTCCACGAAGCTGAAGTTGGATTACCTGAGAGGGCAGAGGCCCTGTAACCATCTGATCCCAAGACTTGGGGCAACTTATACCGCTGATCCTACAGCTGCTAAATGATCTAGATTACATATCCAGGTCTCAGCAGTGATAGCCACGACCAGCACAAATCCTATTCAGTTTTGCTCCAAGACCCCTTTCTCCCCCTACACACCTGCTATCCCCTGAAGAACCTATAAATCCCTCCTTTAAGGAGAAGCAAGCAGGTGGAGGAAACACAAGGAGGAAACAGGAGAGACTGAACCTCTAAACCTTCTATGTAGGAAGATATAATTATATATAGCAAATCTGTTCTGCCAGTCTGGCAACAGCTGACACTCGGTAAGAGCTCAGGGCTGAATTTAAAAAGATTGCTATCTAGTAAGGCTCATCTGTGCTTATTCAACATAAGGTTTTTTTGCTTATCTTACACAATTCAATGAAGGCTTGGGTGGAGCTCATTTGCTTAATATACCCAAGCCTTGTGTTCAATTGCTACACACACACACACACACACTAACACACCAAAAAGTGAGTTAGCTAAAATTGAAAACTCTTTAGCTAAATCAAAATTTAAAAGACAGCAAATTCAAGTAATCTAATAAGCATCGCAGGAGGAGACCCTGCATGTGATAACTCAGGAGTGGAAAGCATAGAGGGGTAGCATGATGGCAGAGCCTTTATGCAATCCAGCCAGGTGGACTGAATAATGAGGCCAGGCAGATCTCTGCAAGTCTGAGGCTAGTCTGGTCTATATAGTGAGTTTCAAGCCAGCCAGGGTTATACAGTGGCATCCTGCCTCAAAAGGAAAAAGAAAAAAGAATTGTGGACTTCTATGAGCAATTATGTACCCTAAAAAACTGAATACCCTAAAAAATGAGAAAATGAGAGAAGAGAACAACCAAGACCAAATCATGAAGAAACAAAAACGTGAACAGCACAATGAGTTAACAACCACAACAAATTGAATCAGTAATGAAAACCAAGAATCTGTAATCAAAGAAAAGCTGAGATCTTGAAGGCTTCACAGGCCACTGAACGCGTAAAGAACTAAATGTCAATCCTGCCAGTCTTCCAAAAGCCTGGAGAGAGTGCTATGAATCTACCTACTGGCCCAATATCAAAGCCGGACAAGGACAAGCAAGAGAAGATCACTGGCCAATCAGTATCCATGGTGAACACGGATGTAAAAACCACCAAAACACTAGCAAATGGAACTCAACAGCACATTTAAAGCAACATCACCCAGGACCACAACTTTCACTCACGAGGACACAACTCAAACTGTCAATACATGTGACAATGTGACGCGAGCAGTCTCCACAGTCCCAGCAAGGCATATTTCTACATCCTAACAGTGAACTGTGCAAAAAGAAATAGAAAATCTCATTCAGGGAACAGCAAAAAGAAGAAAGTACTTGGGAGTGACTTACTCAAGACTGTAAAAGATCTGTACACTGAGAGCTATAAAATGCTCAAGAAACTAATGTGGACACAAATCAGTGGAAAGAGATCTCATGTTCACGGCCTGGGAAAATGGGAAGAGTACTGTTCTACCCAAATCAATCTACAGACTGTATATAACCCTTTACAAAACTGTAACGGCAGTCACCAGAAAGAGAGGAAGGACAATCCTAAACCTCATGTGGGCCTGGACAACACACTCCACCATGCCAAGAACAGAGGCAGTCCCGCCATCCTCTCCCAGGAACGGACTTATAGAGCCGACAACTAAATCTACGGAGCTCTGGCTTTTGTCTCATGACTTTCCAAAAGTCCCAATACTGCCATAGCATGAGAGACGGAATTAGGAACCTTCTTTTCTTTCTCTTCTAGCTTAAAAACCACTTTTATTTACTGATACTTGGCCCTCTGCTTTGTTCTTTTAGGATGCTGTAAGCCATGGACCTGAGAGGCTGGTTCTACAGAACACAGGTACAGCAGTTATAGGACCACTTGAAAACTGCTGACAGAGAAGACACAAACATTCTTGTCAAAGACAAGTCGGTGAGATGATGGATATGTTGCTTTATCATTTCACAATCTACAGCTGAATCAAAACAGCACATCATGCACAACAGTGTGAACTCAAGTTTGCAGAAAATAGCCACACCTATGTTAAAGACACAGACTGACTGATTTGAACGTTGTGACTGTGGAACTGGAATGCTGCAGATTCACAGTCAATTATGTTTGGTTATCTCGTGTCCTTTAGGAGCCATCCATGCTGCCCATCTTGTGTTTGACCCAACCTTTCCACCACTGGTAAAACCTTGGAATCCATTAACTTGGCAAACCACTGGCATAAAAGCTAAGAATGCCATCATCAGACAGCACCTGAGACCTGCTAGACAACGGTTCCCCCATTTATGTAACCCACCTACCTGATGTTCTCATCAATGTATCTGGAAAATGCCTTACTTCATGTCTTTCATACTATCACTATGAAAACTTCATAAAGTCACTTCCACATTGGAACATGTCATTTTGAAGGAACTCAAATCTGTGTTTCTGGGCCAGGGTCACTGTATTTGGCTGAAGAATAAACTCACTCTTATTCTCTATGAGGTGAGAGCTGTATGCATTGACAAACATACATTTTTGTCCACTAATCCTGAGTAAAGCAGATGGGGCAGAGAAGCCCACAGTAAGTTGTCCGGCCTATTGCAGACCCTCAATCACCTAGAGTGGCTGTGATTTCTGAATAGCCAGGGGATCACCCTCTCCAATCAGCCTATAGGGAGTCCCATCACCCTGACTCATTACCTCTCAATGGACTTGTGAATCCGCCTCCACTGGGGATAATGAGCCTCCTGCTCAAAGCCACCTCCTTTGGCTCTTGCTTGCTGGGCCACATTTAGGGATCTGGTGTCAATAAGGTAGCCACGCTTTCCTGCCCTGAGGGTGGCATTTATCAGCTTCTCATCTTCCTTGCACCTCCGCCCGTTTGTGCCAGTCAGAGGCTGACCACTTCGCATAATCACCTGGAAGCACACACAGCAGTAACAGTTCAGTAGCGGTTAGCTGAAGTTCCTGAGAAGGAGCTGGATCAGGAGTCTCTCAAGAACAATCTGTGGCACTCTGTCATGGATTCTGATGAGTGTGCCATACACAAAACTCTGCATGTATTAATAACAGTTAATACTGTAAAAACAAAGATAAGCCTTGCACTTTAACACAATTCCGTTCCTGGCCCAGGGAGGTTTCATCTGTGTAACAAACCAACCCGGCTGACTGCATATACATTCTTCTCTACCCCAAACAACTGCCCACTGCCTTCACCACCCCAACCAGAAGTCTATGCCTTTCTCTTTGATAATTCCACCTTCTGGTTCTTAGTATCATGCCCCAACACTCAGATACAGGATAAAATCCTTAAGTTCTTTCCCCTTTATATTCCTATCAGATAAAATCCACAAGTTCTTTCTCTCTTTATATCCCTATCAGATAAAATCCATAAGTTTCTCTCTTTGTATCCCTATCAGATAAAATCCACAAGTTCTTTCCCCCTTTATATCCCTATCAGATAAAATCCACAAGTTCTTTCCCCCTTTATATCTCTATCACTTTATCTGACAGACTAACATAATCTTGGTGTAAATTTCCCCTTCACCTCTAATCTTGGCAGGCAAGAATTACAAAGAGAAACACAAAATAAAAAACATGCGTCCTTGTGTGGGGAATCATCTTCAGTGTTCTGAAGTTGCCTGTCTATTATTTACCCTCTACTGTCCTCTGTCATCCTCTTCCTATTCTGAGACTACCTGTCTCTGAAGACTACCATCTATGTATTTGAAAGGTTTGCTTTCTAAGCCTTTCTCAAGAAATCAGTGCCTGTTAAACCAGTCTCTTCTCGGGAATGGATTGGAGTTGTCTCAGGAAAACCTTCATCACATGCACTCACCACTCAGAAACAGGAAAACAGCTCAACCTGGCCTGCAGCCAGTTTGTGATTAAGTTTTTGGGAGGTAGAGGCAATGTTAGGAGGTGGGCCTGGATGGAGTAAACAGGTATCTAGGGATGTGTTTAGCGGATAGCCCTGTCCGATCCCTTCTTCCTGTTTCTCTCTGCTAAGGTCAGGAGCCTTTTTCTCCCCACACTCCCTCCACCATGGTGTGCTACCTCACCGCAAGCCCAAAGCAGTGGAGGCAGAGGATGGGGACTGAAACATGGAACCTGTGAGCCAGTGCGTGTCCTTCCTCCGTTAACTTGTTTCTCCACAGCAGTTGCCCATCTCTGGATCTGACCCAATAGCCTGGTGACCACAAAGAAAACCCTGCGGGATGCACCATTAGGTTTTGTCAATCTCTGATCTCTGTACACCCTAAATCTAAAGCTGTGACATCTGAAACCCACACAAGCTTTCTTGCTTTGTTGCTCCCACCCACCTGAGGTCTTCACCAATGCACTGTTACATGCATCCCCTCTGCCTTTCTTTTATTTGGGACTGCAAGAGCTTATGAAGCCTGTCACCCAGGGCAGACACTACTGTTTGGCTCAGAATAAACAGCAATTATGTTGTATTGATGCCACCAGAGGACACAAAACTACATTTAGTGTCAGTTGTTAAACACTGTAATAAAAACTGAGAAGCGATGCCGCTGCTGCCAGGACAGCTGGCCTGCTGACTAAAGAGCACACGTTTAACGCTCTGTTACGTTGATCTCTCTTTCATATTCCCACGGGGAAGGGCAGTGGAAGATAGCCGTAACTGTCTAATTTAATATGGGCAACAGAATAAGAAGCAAATCAAGAGGGGAGATAGGTCAAGACATGGAAGTACAAACCTTCAATCCTAGCACTCAAGAGGCAGAGGTAGGTGGATCTCTGAGAGTCTGAGGCCAGCCTAGTCTACAGAGAGAGTTCCATGCCTGCCAGGGCTAAACATAGAAATCCTGTCTCAAAAACACTGAGGGGGGAGGAGGAAGAGAGGGGGGAAAGGGAGGAAGAGGGGGAAGAGGAGGGGAGGGGAGAGAGCAGAAAGTAATTTGGAAAGCTCACACAGGGCAAGCTGTAGACTGCTGCATCCCCTGTGAGGAACCTAGGAAGCCCTGAGTGAAGTTTCTTGTTGATGTGAGTAGGCCATGTGTCATAGACCATTGCCACAGACCCATGGGAAACAAAGTCTTGCCCAAGGTCAGGTCAGAGAAATCGCACAACCTTCCTCTAAGTGTAAAGTTGACAGTGTATGCAAAACTAAAAAGCACAGAGCCTGCTAGCTTAGAGACCTCTCACCTAGACTAGCTTAGCCCTCCTCCCATGTCCTGTTCATAATAACCATGCTGAGGTTCCACCCTGTAGCACTGGTGCCACTCCATCAGACTATGAACAGCCTACTGGATCCCAGATTTTCTATTGCAGCAAGCAGTAAATAAGCACAGTTTCCTTCACACTGTGAAGGTAAACCCAATCTTTCTAAAGCTGAACAGTACTGAAAGAATTTAGGATGTCCTCCTCAGGAAACACCCCACTCCTGGCACCCTATAGTTTACAAGAAGGATGTATCAGTAGGAACAATCTGGCTAATGACTTCAGTCGAAAGCCACATAGAGAAGAGATCACTCGTAAGCAAAGGATCTCGCCCACCCCAGACCACTCCTGCCAGCAGAGCAGCCCCTCATACTCACCATGCCATTCTTTTTATGGTAATAGCTCAGGACTGGGAAGCGCCCCCCATGACGGAAGGCTGCCACTTTCCGAAGTGCTTCGTCATCGATGGACTTGGGCACAATGACAGTTGGTGGGTAGGAAGGGCAGATGGAAAATTCCTTATTGACATAGCTCAGTCTCCATTCACTGGTCTGAAAAACACATAGCACTTCAAAGTTTAGCAACCAAATCAGTGTCATAGAGCATCTAAGATTTAAAGTCTTTGGAGCTGATTCCCAGGGAAGCCATTCAGCAGTGAATCTGGACATCTAGCCCATACTCAAGGCCTGTAGAGGAAAAAAACTTCACCTTTCACACCAGGTTCAATAGCTCTGAAAGACTAGAGAGCAGTGTTCCTAGAACTTCTTGCCTGTGCCAAATACACCTCTTGTATTTGAAGCTTCTCTCTCGGTTTAACAATGACACAGACAGCACAGCCTCAGTTCTCCATTTTACAAGACAGCCTGGCAAATGTTTAAAGACAGTTCTTGACCCTCAGTTAAATATGCCAAGTATATCTGCAGTTTTGGTGGCCAATATCAGCCCATTTGCCTTTTCCTGGGCACTGCTTGGATTATAGTGACCTTAACACAGTACCAATAGATTCTCATTACAAAATGCTCTACTGAGTAGATATTGGCTAGAACAAATCCTTTGGTCCTCCTGCTATTTAGAAAAGAAGAATGCAGTGAGACAGGCTCATCTTTCTTTCTTTTTTTTTTTTGTTTTTTTTTTTTTTTTGTTTTTGTTTTTCGTTTTCCGAGACAGGGTTTCTCTGTGTAGCTCTGGCTGTCCTGGAACTCACTCGGTAGACCAGGCTGGCCTCGAACATAGAAATCCACCTGCCTCTGCCTCCCAAGTGCTGGGATTAAAGGTGTGCGCCACCACCACCTGGCCAGGCTCATCTTTCTTATGACAACGAGGAAACACCCCTGGAAAGCCCTTATATGTCATAAGATCATTTCTAAGTCAGCTCCTATGTTCTGGAAGTGCATGACAGGAAATCATCAAACAGTAGAAATGAAAACTGCATGTAAAATGTAAAACTGCACTTTATAGCTAAAAGCCCAAATGACATGTGCAAACATTAATATGTGCCTATAAATCCAAGTTGATCATACATATCAACCCTGGCTTACGTTAATAGAAAATTAAGTTAAATTGTGACACAGAAACTTTTTTACTTACATGATCAAATTCATACAAATTTTAATTACTTTCTTCTATTTTCAAACATTTTGCAAAAGTTTTTACTTATTTTGTTTAGTTGGTGTATGTAGGCTCAAGAGAGTGTATGCGTGTGCACATGTGCCTGTGTGTACATGTGTGCATGTGCCTATGGAGGCTGGAAGAGGCCATGGGTCTTACTAGAGCTGGAGTTACCGGCAGTTACAAGCTGCTCCATGAGGATGCTAGAGCCAAACTCAGGTCCTCTGGAAAAGCAGCAAGCTCTCTTAACCACTGAGCCATCTCTGCAGCCCCCACTTGATTATTGTATTGTTTCCACTTTGTGGTCACTTTCTCACACTTCCTTAAGCAGTTTTAACTACTGCTTTAGAATCCTTCAGACATCTGGGTCATCTTAGGCTGAGTGCCTCTTGACTCTTTCCTCAGGAGAATGGGTGCATTTCTAACTCAATGTTGGTTGCATCATGGGCCCTGTAGACATGTTTGGTGCAGAGGTAGCTTGGTTTTAGTACCCACTTACACACTGGCTAGCTTTGTGAACTCCAGGACCCACTCAGACCCTGGCTGGCTCTGTGAACTCC